CGAATCGATTCAACTAATCTCTTGTGCGTTTCTCTAAGGCGCAACATCGTTTCGAGGAGTGATGTGATAGTGCGAGAGCGATCTGGGTCGGTGCTGCGGTGTGTCGCAGGTCGTTGGCAGCCAACCTCTAGACTAGCCTCAAATACCGTGCAGATACCCAGTTACAACAGCCATTCTCAAGTACATTTTGCGGCCCCAGATACGGATACGGGAGGGATGAGAGACATGTGAGGGATGGCGTCGATTGCAAGTAGTGCTAGCAGGATGGCATACTTCTTTCGCTTTCGCATAGAAGTCGGGATGAGTCACAATGTAGACCCGTTGCCTGCATTTATAACTACGAGAAGACCTAGCAGAAATAGGATCTATGGCTACATCGTATGCAGAAGTAGCAACATCACATGCAGAAAAAACAGCAACTCGTATACAGCCGAGCGAGGCAAAAACAAGACGAACAAATCACGGGATCAGTGTTCAGTACCTTTTACATATATTGTTGCATCTAGTGTAGCATTGTTCGCTACAACGCGTCGTCTCGGAAGACTAAAAGGACACGGGGAGCCTACAGACGCAATAACGGCAAATGGCCTGAAGATTCAATGCGCTGCTTTCTCGCTTACGCAAGATGTATTCCGCGAAGGATGAGCGGTCACGAACAAGGTAACTGCTTGTAGCAGGAGCGCTAAGCTGGCATCAGAATAGATCGATGATACGGGTTTAACACATGGCGGGCTCGCTGATTTAAACAAGGGAAAAATGACAAGGAGGCGTCTATGACTACGAGGCGTCGGCTTTCGTTTGGCAGTCAGATTTGACGTAGACGAGGAATTTTGGCGACTTGATGGGAGCGGTATAGCTTGGGCAGCATGAGAAGGAAGATACCAGCACGCGCGCGTATGAAGACTTGAGATGAAGATTCCTGAAAAGTGAGGAGCACAGTCCTCTCTCCCAATGACAAACAGCAAATATTCCAAGTACGTAGTCCTGTTGAGAAATCCTTATTGTTGAAAAATTTTCTCGTAGAAGAGTTGCAAAGAAGAGGTACGAACCCCAGCACCGGGAAATGGGTTCAAACCGTTCGAAGAAAAGGGTGCAGCAGAGCAAGGATGCAGAGACACAAGATTCAGGGAGCAGTTAACAAAATTACAATCATTTAGACACTGCCAAAAGATCCTTGAGAAGAGAGTGCGTTAGTAAAAGAAGATCCTGGACAAGGTACTTCTAGAGGATCCTGAAGAGAGAAGTGTCCAGTAATTTATTAGACGAGCAGCCTGAGTGTCGCAATCTTTCGTTTCAACTGTAGATCAAAAAAAATATCCTGTAGAGGAGAGAGTCTAGCCAGTAGTAAAAGATGAGGGCAGCTAGGGCTTCCGTTTCTCTGCTGGTGCCTGTTTTGGGGCTGCCGGTTTGTGACACTCACTGGACGGAGAGCTATAGCAGCTTGGATGACACGCTTTCAGCGGTGCTCCCTTCGGATGGCTCCTCAGGCGAGCGGGAAGGCGAAGGCGTATTCAGGTGCTAAAAAATAGCTTAGAGTTTTCAGGTTCAGGAGGTAGTACTAAAAATGCCTACAACTAAAATTGCTTACAGTGAAGATACAGGGCACAGCAATCTTCAATCTATGATTAGGGTACTACAATTTTTAGCATTGATTGAGCATTGTGGCTCATGATTAGACTCACTATTACCCCTCCTACATACTTCGCGCACTAATTAATCAATACTGTGTACCGAGCATCCAGCAAGCATGAAACTGCTGTACTTGTGGTTTAAGGATCACTTGATGTTGGGAATAGCATGCACTCTTGAGAAAAAGTGCTTGGTCGTAATAGAAAGAAACTACTTGTTCATCGACTCCACAGAGAATGATCGAGTTTTGTTTACTTCTACGTCATCAAGTGATACTCAAAGCAATGAAGGCGCACACATGCTTGTTTTTCCATGCTGATAAGAAGAAACAGATCACAATGTTCAAAACAAAGAATTAGAGCTTAGCGTGGGGATTGGGGAAAATATTCCTAGAACCGTAACGTAGTTTCAGGAGAAAATCTAGTGGGTATTTGGTTCAACTCCCACTGGGGTATCCAGAAGTACTAAGATGTAGATTTTTTAGAGTCAAAGTGCGACGTTTGAGGTTATGCATCCTAGAATTTTGTACGAGTTGGGGACATAGGATGAAGTTTTTGATTGATTTGGTTCATACGTAAACTGGATAATGAGTGGGTTTTGAGGAGATTCAATAGGAGTATAGAATGTTATGTTTGATGACATTTCTGGATGTTTTGGTTGATTTTTGAAGTGTGTGCAAAGGAGCTCGTCAGAAATGAATTTCATTTAAAACAAGATATAATCAGAATTTCTTGGATATGACTTGAAAACTCCTCAATTTCTTTTTCGATTCAAGATTATTGTAAGAATTTCTACATTCATACAACTTAGAATAGTGCAACCCCTAAAAGTTTCATAATTTAGATCTTCTAACATGATAAGCATCAAACAAAACTCTACTTTAGATGCTGATAACCAAGAAATCTACTTAAAAAATCTAAATCACAGCAAGAAGGAGTACGCCTGTGCAGCGTGCGTGAAATTGGTGGTGGATAGCAAGAGTTGCGACGTTATTCCCTCGTCAAAATGCTATGCCTACGACGTCATGGGCCATTTTGGAACGAAGACAGTAGAAAAGGTATTATTCTAAGAGCTGCTGCTTCTTCATTAGTATTCTCCACTCTGAAACCGAAAGTCTGCATCCATCTCATGGGTTACGTTTATCTGGATTGATTCTAAGTATCATGTTCTTTCCCTCTAAATCTAAATCTTTCCTTCGGCGAGACTACTAAATCCAAAGAATCTAATAGTGAAATCTATAAATAATCTAAATAGGGAATCTAAATAATCTAAATATTTAAATCTAAATAATCTAAATCTCGTTTACTCACCTTCTTTTCCCAGGTAACAGGCGGCAAATTGGGTACGACTACGATTGAGGATACCACGGACGAAAACTGGACATACGCGCTGAGTGGCACATTACGGCTTTTTCATGGCCAACTCCCATACTTGAATAGAAGATGTTTGCTCATAACCCGAAAAGGACTCCCTACGAATAGACGGGGCCAATACAGTGGCTATGACTGAAGAGACGACTATCCTCCATTTATAGATTCCACGATTACGTATTTTGATTGTAAAACTAACACAGGATGAGGAGTCATGCTTTCTCTAAGTACATCATGTCATTTCTCTTCTAAGTACGTCCTTACCGGATGGGGCGGTCGAATGCGCCCCTGTCCTCTACAAGGCTATGAATCCAGATGCCACCCGACAGGTGATTGATGCTGCCTGCGCTTCCGGAAACGCACTCTGTGATTATGGTGGAATTTTAGCTTCGATGCGGAAGAATTTCTGCTACTCTTGGAGAATTTCTGCTACTCCCTTCTCTCCCTCCGCCTTGGAAAATTTATCCTTCTCCTCTGCTCTAGAATGTCTCCTCCTCATCTCCTCTAGAATGTCTCCTTCTCTCATCTCCTCTAGAATGTCTCCTCCTCATCTCCTCTACTATGCCTCCTCCTCATCCCTCCTCCTCCTCTAACCCCAAGACCATCCGAATAAGTTCCAGGAGTGCTGCGGAGGCATGGTGCCGCCGGATCAGCTGTGTGCCACTGGCAAATTTTGCTGTGGCGAAGAGGGAAAGATCACTTTCGGCAAGGACAAGAAGGAGGAGTGCGCAGCTGCCACGAACGCGGCAACAAACGTGTAGATCGAGACTAACGTGTGGATTGTGGATGGAGATGGGCTTCGCAAGATTGTGGAGACCTGGAGTTGGTCTAGACACGGTCAAGATTTTAGTTTAGATCCGTTTAGCTGTGTGATTTAGAAAGATTTGGATTTAGAGGGGTTTCCGCCTCAGCCCTGCGCATTAAGCACCGGATCAGCAGATAAGTTATGAGTGAGTCTCGCCGCGGACTCGCTGACCGGTAGCTCCCCCTACATGCAGACACTTAGCCCAGATTCTGACTAGTAGCCTCCCTGCTCTCAAGAACATTTTGGAGAGATTTTTGTTTTCGCGTGGGGCTGTTTACGTAGGAGTGTTTCGTTGCGGCATCAAACACAAACACATGTTGTTCACGAATCCTCCATCACGAGACAGTATCAACATGGACTTAGCGTATGCAATGCACAGTATACACTCATTTGACGTTACACCATCATTGTTTTTCCATTCGCACATGCACTTTCTTTTTTGATTGTTTTTTCCATTCCACACAAGACGAGACTTACTTTTTTTGTTGACTTCTGGCCACCTGTACTAACGTATCGACATTGACTGACTGGCTTCTGAATAACGATTCCGACGATCACGTGATCACGCTTCACCTTTTACATGAATTAATGTTTTTTTCCGACTGGCAATGAAAGTTGAGTCTGCCCTGGCGGCAGGCGCAGGCAATCGCAAGCATGCATTGTTGGAAGCCGTCCTTTCTTCTTGCTACTAAGCGATTCTCGCTAGCTAGCACGGGTGATCGATATCTGTAAGTGAGCGTCTGGCGTCACGCAGATGATCAGGTGACTATCGCCAGGTGACATTTCGGTCTATACATTCGGTTTTTTGAAGGTTTTGTTCACGTGAATGTAATGACTATGTAGCAACGCAAAAGATCTAAGAACGAATGATCCAGTTTGGACAAGTGCTGCTACCTAGTAGGCGAAGGTTACTCTTATTGAAGAGGACAGAAGATTTTGCTGTTCTGAAAGAAGATCCGCTGTTCTGCGTGTCGCAAGCCAGAAATCTCTTACTCTTAATCTTAAGCTACATGTTCAAACAGCCAGATCTCTCCAGAAAGGCAAGTTCAATGGATCGAAGACACATGTTTTACAAGGTGATCCCTTGGTGCATCCATCGAATGAATCTGTAGATCCACGATCGAGCCCGGATCGAGATCTCAGCTGGACGCCAGTATATATGGGATTATTTAGGATAAGTCATGTAGGCTCTATGACAACTCACTTCGCGACGAAGACAAGGTCCAGAGATCTTGGGGTCTGCGTGAATGCCGACTTTCTTTCAATGGCGAGATTAAAGATTGTGAATTCCTACATTTCCATGTTGACTACGCTAGTCAGGATAGATTTCCTGGGATTCGGTATCCTTCCCTTCAAGTGTAGATGTTGTAGATCTAGCTTTACACGGTAGCTTAACTTTCTAAAGAACCAATCGGGGTCACCTGGACCTCTCCACTTATAAGTACTTCTGCAATTCCTTTTCTGAAAAGGTGGAACCTCTGTTTCTATCATCAAGACCGACTGACATATTTTTCCTTCCTGAAAAATGGACGTTGACGAGAATCAGAGTCTGGAGGACGGCCTCAGGTCGATCCTCTCTGGTTTGGATGCGGACCACAAGCGGGCCTTCTGTTTCCCCGCAGAGGGGAAGAAGAAGAAGAGGAAAACACGAGAAGCTGAGAAGACGGTGGATGACCAGAAGGTCAAGGACGTGAGCGAGAAGAAGGACGTAAGCGTGAAGGAGAAGGACGTAGACTCTGCATCGACGAAGAAAGCGACCAAGGCAAAGGTGGTGAAGGAGAAGTACGTAGAATCCGCATCGACGAAGAAAGCGACCAAGGCAAAGAAAGTGGTAAAAAAGGGAGCTGATAAAGATGCCAAGCAGACGCACGAGAAAAGCAAGGCCGTTGTGACGACGAAAAACAGCACTAGGAAGAACTGTGGCGGGCTCTCCCACAATGACGCCACACCTTCTCCATCTGCAGTACAGGAGGAGCCGCCGAAGTCGGTTTCAGCCCTTTTAGCCCGACTCAAAGCAGGCATGCAAAATGGAGGTGCTGGTAGTTCAAATGCGAAGACAACAAATAACAGCATAGGATCGAACAATGCAGCAACGACTAGCAACAGCACAGCGAACTCCACTAAGATGCTCGGAGGAAAATTGCAAGCTGCACGATTTTATGGGTTTCTACATTATTCGCAGTAAAGACTGTTGCTGCTAGAGATGCTGGTGGCAGCGTGAATGAATGAATGAAAATAAGCACGTAAGTTCAATACATCCTTGACCTTTTGATCTTAAGCAGAGACTGAGTCACAAGGTGGATGATCTGGCGAATGTAAAGGCGCAACTGAAGAGATGGACACCTCTGCTCGGTATCTCTCTTTTGTTGGAAAAACTCTAACGATTTCGGGAATTAAACGAGGAGCTGTACAAGAGTAGCGGTGGGACGGCTTTAAGGTGGTGGAAAAAGCAGCCTCATCTGTTTGACCAGTACCATGCGGGATTCGCGCGACAAGTGGAAAAATGGCCTTGCAATCCACTGGATCGGATCATCAAGTTTTTGGAGGCAGAGGTCATCCCAGAAGCAACGAGCGTCCAGTCCCAGGAGAAGGTTTTGCACATCGCAGATTTAGTTATGCGACCTCATGGTAGCTTCCGGTAGTCTGCACCTAATGAAATGAAGCACTTCTAGGTCTAAGTCTAATGCAAATCTACCCTTCTACCTCATCTTTAAAGGCCTGTTCATATTCTGCAACCTATAACTAAGGTAGCTTCCGGTAGTTATGCGACCTATAACTCAGGTAGCTTCCGGTAGTCTGCAGCCTGGTAAGTCATAGGATGTCGGCAAATTTTTCAATCAGTCGAAATTTGAATTTGGATCATCCAAAAATTTTCAGTTATCTGCTTTTTTTTCGAATTCATTTCCTGAGGGTGAGCTTTTCTGAAACAATTTAACTGATCAAATCTGTTTCATTTTCCTTCTCCTGTGCATCCAAATATCTGGAGATGACACTATTAAGTACTTTTACTATGGCTAATATTTTCACTTATACTACTTACAATCTTACTCATAAATTACTACTTGAGTAACCTTACTAAAATTACTCATCGAAATTTGAATTTGGATCCTCCTAATTTTTGTTGCGGAGAAGCCAGATTGGCAACGACACTAGCGGACGGCGAGCGGGTCAAGGTCTCGTGCTTCGATTTAGTTGGCCGAACGATTTCGCCCCTAGTACAGGTGCAAGCGTGCAATGTGAACCAGCATATACCTCTCCCGACCCAGAGTGTCGATGTTGTAGTACTCTGCCTAGCACTCATGGGAACTGACTGCTTGTTATGAAAGAACCTGAAACCTACTTGGAATAAATACTTAACAGAATCAATATGAATAGTTTTTACCATTCTTAACGCCCAGAAACTTAATAGAATTTGAATAGATTTTACCATTAACCTCTGCTTCTGCTGAGTGAAAAAGTGTCGTCTGTTGTTCTAGGGGAGTGAACTCTTTTTTTGTCTAGGGTCTACCTGCTTACCATTAACACCGAGTAGGCTGTTGGTGACTTGGAAAGTCAATTATTTTACCTACTGTTTACAAATAAAGTTCAGGGAAGGCGTAAGGCAAATCTGTGTCGTTTTTTATTTCGTTTTTTCGTTTTTTCTCTCTCTAATTTTCGGAGCTTTAAAGGAGGCGGCGCGAATTTTACGTCCCAAGGGCTTGCTTCTATGCGCTGAGGTATCTTCATATACTTGTTTCTAGTGTCTGCTGCATGTATGCGCTGAGGTATCTCCATATAGAAGTAGTTCTACCCCCTTTGTGACACATACGTGTGTTTTTTGATGATACGAGAGTATAATTAAGCGGTACAAGATGCAAATAAACCTTTTGATCTAGGTCAAAAGATACCTCAAGACCAGGTAAATGAATGAATGTAGTGCAACAGCGCGTGGACATCACTATCTACTGTGTAGTTTTTTTTGTTGACACCAATTGCGTGACCCCAACATGAGTGTGCAGCACCGTACCACTACCTGTCCTATAGTCATGTTTGTCAAGAAGAAAAACCAGAGTCTCGATGAAGTTACAAATGTTGTTCCTAGGTTCAAAGTCGTTTCGAGGAGGTAGATGCGTTCGTGGAAAGCGTGGAGAATCTTGGTTTTGCGCGCTTTCGACCTAAAAAGCAAAAGCGATTTGCTTGTGAAGCGAATACCCATTTTTTCCTTCAGGGGTTTCAGAGAAAAGGACAATTATCCTCTAGTGCTCCTGGAGATTCGGGATCAACAAAGACTACACAAGCAACTGCAACGACAACTTCGGCACAATCTGCATCAACATCTTCTAGTAAAGAACCATCAACAAGAACTTCGAAAATTTCTAAAAAGGCCGCTCCCGCGGACGAAGGACGAAAGGCCAAGAGAAGAAAGACCGCCACAGACACGGACAGCTGAAAAATGGGTTAAGGCATGATGATGGATGTTTTTTCATAGGTTATAACGTTGGTTTAGACCCCTTTTGATTTGTTTAGGACATGTATTTACTGAATTGTTTAAAAAAAGGGTGGCAGCATATTATAGTCCTAACGAAAAAAAGACCAATTAAAGATCACGACCGATTATTATCGATTTGCCTTCCAATTTTTCGATTTTCGAGGTTGTAGTCAATCTACTATCTTCGAAGTGAATCCAAGGCACGTAGTCCATCTTGAATCTATCAGCTCTAAAGCAAAGAAGTTGGTTGGACAGCACCGAAGCCGTGTATTTACAAGAGACGGTAGCCGTGGTTGAAAACGTGACTAAGGCAAAAAAAGGCTAGGAGCGAAGGTGAGGGTAGTAGAGCGAAGAGGAGGCTAGTGAGGGAGACCGGCGTCTTTAGACGTGCAGGCTGCCGCTTTACGGAGCAGGGAGGTCGAGCTTTTAGAGGTGCAGCTAAAGAGGACGTCTGATTACAGTGCGAAGGAATACATCTGAGTACAATGTTGGGGGTCATACACTGTTCTGAGGACGATACTGTCTTCGGAAGTACTTGTTAAGGAAATCTTAGGCAATCGGGCGAATAAGTATATAGATTCAGGTCATGAAGTACTCACTAAGAAAACCCAGCGGGCGTTGTGTAGGTCGTTGCGTTGTAATTTTTTTTCGCCATGGAGGTGTAGGTGTAGCTTAATCATGATAAGATTATGATAGAGTAATCGTGATAAAATTATGATAGAGTAATCATGATAAAATTATGATAGAGTAACTTGATCATGATGTAACTTAATCATGTTGGAGGTGTACTATCTGTAATTATGATAAAGTAATCACATGCATCTTCTTCACTGAAATGCGAAGTACTTTTTACTACACAAAAAAGTGAAGCCGCCACAGGATAGTGTCAAGGACGATTGTCATTTATACTTACCCCACGGTGAACGTGAATCTCGATCCTCCGTATCCCTCGACTGACATCATCATATCCGATGTTGAATCCTCCTTCTCATCTGCTACTACTACTACTTCTACAACAACTACTGCTCGGCCTCCCTTTGCCTCCTTCTCATGCGACATTCGTAACTTGTGTTCTATGATATAAGTCTGGTGCGAGATATAAGTCTGGTGCGAGAGGGTAATAGTAGTTTTCGGTTGAGTGTCGTGATGAGAAAGAACTCTGTCTGCTGTCGAGCACTGTGGATGCGAGAAGATGAAAATAGATTTCTGTTGAGTGATGTCGTGATGAGAAAAGATTCTGTCTTTCAGTCGAGCACTGTGGATGCGAGAAGATGAAAATAGATTTCTGTTGAGTGATGTCGTGATGAGAACAGATTCTGTCTGTCAGTGGAGCACTGTGGATGCGAGAAGATGAAAATAGTTTTCTGTTGAGTGATGTCGTGATGAGAAAGAACTCTGTCTGCTGTCGAGCACTGTGGATGCGAGAAGATGAAAATAGATTTCTGTTGAGTGATGTCGTGATGAGAACAGATTCTGTCT